CATATTTTTCTTTTCGATGCCAAAAATGGCCTCCAGAATAAAAACCTTCTCAAGGCTCCAGCTTTCACTGAAATTAGTCCATACCAAGGGAAGTGTAACACAACTACATAATGTAAAAGAATACACAAATACATTTGAGGTACAATAGATTCTTAGAAAGAACCAGAAAAATGAACCAACCTTCATTCTTTTTGCACTCAACTGTATATGTATATGTCAACAATGCACAGTTCAAATTCTGAGGAGATAGATATGTCCTACAGCTTTGTTTTTCCTAGAAACAACACCTGAAACTTTACCAAATATATATTTGATTATGTTCTGACACTCTTACATAGTTTCCCTCTGTCAAATCTGACCGAAATAGGCTGGATGCGACAAATCCATTTCGGATGACCTTGGGCCTTTTGATGCCATTGGTACATAATTGTCAACAATGTACAGGTTGAATTCTGAAGAGATATTTATGCTTTACAACTTTGTTTCTCCAAGAAAGAAAATGTGAAACTCTACCAAATATATGTTTGATAATGTCCTGACACTCCTAGATAATTTCCCTCCACCAAATTTGACCGAAATAGCTGGATGCAACAAACCGATTTTGGATGACTTTGGGGCCTTAGATGCTGTTGGTAAACAAATGTAAACAAGATTGAAAAAAAATGGTAGCTACTCTACGACACGACATACAGGGAGATAAAAGGCACTAAAAAGGATCCAATACGGAATCTGAATATACATTATAAAAAGATGGGTAGACAGCTCTCAAGACCTTGTAAAAAAAGAGTATGCTCTCCTCGAATACCCTCAACTCAGCTGTATGCTCACCGCTTGTCATCCTGCCTTGTCGTCCTGCCTTGTAGTTGTGTCGTAGTCGTCCTGCAAGGTCACCACGTTGTCCTGGGCATTGTAGCGCCATCGTCGTTGCCCCGTTTCTGTGTTTTGTCGTGTTGTCGTTGTCCTGTGTCGTTGTCCGTAATCATGTTGGTCATGTGTCGGTCCAATGACATTGAACAGTGAATCGGTTGTTGTACTTCGTTTGGTTGGATGGAGTGGTGAGGATGGCGTCAGCGAAGGTCAGACTATAATAAACAAGGGATGGGTGACCACAAATGCAAGCCAGCGAAAATGCAAGAACTCACCGAAAACACTTGAGTGTATTCCTCCCGACATGTCCCTATTTCCCCTCTGCATGTTATGTTTGCTGCGAAAACGTCGAGGGGAGGTCGTTCGATAGACGATGACTCGAGTGAGGCCTTGGATTTGGGGAGTTTTGATCGGAGTGGAATAAGACCGATGAAGTCGGTTGTCGAGGGGAGGGTTGAGCGGCAGGCATCGATGTGTCAACCACCCATCAACAGCGCTCGGAAAATGCCGAGCGCTGAAGAGCGATACGCGCACCTGCACGCACACTCGTTATTGAGAGAAAAGAAATATGGAAAAATGGAATTAAAGGTCCTAAGGAATAGCACTAACATTTGAGATAGGTAGCACTATGTATTTACCAGGCAGGGAGTAAAAGTCAGAAGAATTTCAATCTACAGCTGAGTTTCCGGCACTTTCAGTTGCATTACTGTGACCCAGCTACACCTATCCCATTACCTGTATCTACACAATCCTCTGGTTTCCATAAATTTTTGTGAATCCATTAAGGCTTTCATTCTGAAGATATCTATGTAAATTTCATAGCTATTGGATGGTTATTGTGGACACAGTATAGTTTAAATCAGACCACATTCACTCTATTCAGTGACCTTCACAACAAATCCTTCATTATCAAAGTGAATATAGTCCTCAGAAAATTTATACTGGCATCCACCTTTAGCTGAGATCAGGTGAATCTAATCCCTTGAATATTAGGCAAGCAGAGAAAGGTTTCCCAACACAATTCTATGTTTTAAAAACCTCCTAAATATTGAAAAATGGGAACATGACTTTCAGGTGTGTTATTTCACTCAAAAGTTACAATGCCTGTCCTAATAATGTTCCACTTATGTGTAGGTATGAGTAGGCTATAGCTGCCAGGTTTTAAGTTACAAGTTGCTGGAATGATATGTTTTTTATCTTAGAAAACAGAGATACTCCTCTCTCTGCAATTTTTAGCCAACTTCTGATGAAAGTCTAAGGTAAAAGTTGGAAATTAATCATGTTAAGATGTATTACCATTGTCAGAATGATGTTGCCTTGCTCTCCTTGCTCAATGTCAGTTGTATTTCCGGTGTTTTCAATGTGTTTAAGAAGTTTGCATCTATTTGTCTAAAGCTTCAAAGGTGTCATCCGAGTTCACAACGTTGCATCCATCTACTTGCGAGGGTGCCATGAACGTGAAACATGAAAAATCGGGCTGTATTCTACTTGTAGAGTACCAGAATGTTTGTGTTTCATTAAATTTAGGTGTACAGAATGAATAGCATGCCTTTTGAGGATCTGGCCACATGGAGGCAACTGTTTGCGACTATTTGGCAATGCCTTTTGCAACGTCATCCAGCTGGAACCTGAGCCATCCATCCAAATGCTGCTCAATGAAAATACCAAAAGTCATATGAATGTCAAAAACAAGTTGCAACTGAGGAAATATGAACTTGATACAATCAATAATATGAATGACACCCTCCAAAATGCATTTCCATGATTTTCCTCTCGAAAGCTGGCTTTGTTGACAATTGTTTGTTACCTGGAAAAGGTCATCCAGAACATGACTAGGCTCGTGACCATCCGTTTCTTCAAACTCCGCAAGCTACGTTCAGAAACGGCTGGGAGAAACGAACACCCTTTGGCAGGGTCACGCTTTTGTGACGTGGGACTTGGTGAAAAAAAACGGTTCATAATCTGTACTGCACAATCACAACGACAACACAACTCGACCGCTACTCAAGACTTCCTCTGAGCTTTCATCACCATCGGAGTGTTCTTCTCTACCATCCTTTCCTCTCAATCTCGCTTCCTCGGGCTCGCTCTCAACATTCTCATCCACCAATATGCCTTTGCCGACATCTTCGCCTGGCGTCGCTGCTGGATTTCCAAGGGGTGGACTCAGTTAGTTGAGGGGTTGGGAGTTTTTCAGGACCTGGTAGACGAGTTGAGGTTTGCGACAGGGGTTGATGTTCCTGTGGATGTATCCTCAATTGTTGTTCAGTTGACAAATTGCTGTCAAGGTGTATTGACCAATATCTATGGAAACGAGAAAGCCTGTAAGCCTTTGCATTAATATTGAATGACCAACTTACTTAATAGCGCTGTTGAAAAGCCCTGACAGTCCCTTGCTGTGATATTTGTACCCCAAGCTTCTGAACCGTATGCGCCCAGCTCCACCTCAGCCAAATTCTTGGAAAACGGCTGCATCGTATGAAGCCGTTAATCCCACAACAAAGTGGAGCCTCTCAGAATGGCGTACCAAGATTTGGAACCACGACTTTGACAATGCGATCTTCAGCCCTGCGGGAATCCTTAATGATGGTGCGCTCAAGAAGCTGGCCTCCATGGCAAGCCCTATTGAAAATTCGATTGGGTTAGAACGTGTGATTGGTGGATGGGCATGGTTTGGGACTTACGGTGACGAACTCTTGGCAGAAATCAAAACCCTCCCATTCAAGTCCATACCAAAGCAGAAGCAGAAGAGGGTAGCAAAGCGGTCAATGGTTGATGTTGCAGAAAAGCGAACGCGTGTCTCAGCTGCTCCCACACCTGTGACGCGTGTCGCATTTAACGTTGTCATAGTCCTCAATGTGTCAAAAAAAATCTACTTTTTCAAATCTACTGTAATCGCATTATTTGAATCAAATAAACTATCTAAAGGTGTAGCCAGAAAAACTTTTTTTTGTGATGTTTCGGATGGGTGTTTTGAGGTGGGTGAATGTTCGCGGAAATTTCTCTAAGTCAGCGTCACACGCAGGGGTCCCTGCCAAACTGTGTTCGTTTGTCCCAGTCGTTCTGAGGTGTTCTTATTTTTCGCAGTCCACCTGATGTTTGACCCCCACAACAAAGCCACAACAAGTGGCAAACACCTCAGAACGACTGGCTAGCGAGTCTAGAACATGACTTGTGCATCCATCATCTCCACACCTCCGATTGAGGCGGAAATTTTTGGAAAAAATCGGAAATATATTTCTACATCACTTGGTAGCTCTGAGTAGCTGTAACACTAAATTTGAAGGAGAAAAATGAGAACTATGACAACTGAAATATTCTGGTGAAATCCAGCTTTTTCAGAGGGATTTTGACATGGAAAAAACATATGTGGATGCTCTTTTGGCAAGAGAAACATACACAGGATACAGGAAAACATACCAGTCATCAATACTGATCCAGGGTGTACCATTTCTAAGAATTTTATATCATAAAACATATCTGAGCTATATTTAGATTTGTTATATATCACAAACATGTTGGATCCTAAAATAGAACAGATTTCAAACATTAGCAAGCTATTTTTGATTTTTCTATCATATCTGATGCCAGATATTGATATTTCACCCAAAAAAACCAAATTTTCACCCCCCAGGGTGATTTTTTAAAGGCAAGCAGAATGCAAGCAAAAGTAGGCAAAGAACATTGCACATCAGTTGGCAAATGGTGTGCAAGGCAATTGCACACCTTGTAGGGCTAGGACTACATCTATGGCTGGAGCATTGGTGTTGACATTGATGTGTGGTGGTTGTGGAGAGGAAAGAAGTAACATCATTGTGACTAAGTCACAGTGTGTTAAACTCACTACAACATTTTGTATTAAAAAATGGTAGTCTCAAAAAGCTGGCACTACAAAATTTTGTAATGAAAAACCAGGTAATGAAAAAAGAGGAGACTACAAATTCTTGTAGTCCCAAAAAGTGAACATTACAAAATTTTGTAATGAAAAAGCGGACAATACAAACTTTTGTGGTAAAAGAAATCAGGCACTACAAAATTTTGTACTCTTAAAAAGAGGATACTACAAATTTCTGTAATAAAAGTGGACAGGACAAACTCTTGTAATGAAAAAGAGGACACTACAAATTTTTGTATAGTCCCAAAAAGCAAACACTACAAGCATACTGCAAACTTTGATAGTCCCAAGAACTGGACTCTACAAGCTTTTGTATTCCCACAAAGTGGACATTACAAGGTTGTGAAATGAGAAATAGGATACTACAAAATTTAATAATGGACACTACAGAATTTGAATAGAAATAGTGGGCACTACAGATTAAAATTTGGGTGTGCGGGTGAGTTTGAACAATGTCACACACTGTGACTTACTGATGTTACATCTTTCCAAGAATCCAACATCAACACCAACATCCACCCCACCACCACCCCACCGCCATGCCAGGTAACGGAACCCCCACCACCGCAAACAACCCCACTCACCCAAAAACAACAACAACCACACACACGACGAAAACAAACGGCAAATGACGACCAACACCCAACAGATGACCACGGCTGCCTAGCAACCACGCCAACCCCACTCAACGGAAACAACGACGGGCAAATGACGACCAGCACCCAGGACAATCAACCACCAGCACCCACGAGCGGCTCACACAATGGCCCTAAAGCCACGAACGACCTCACGAGCCAGCGGGGCCACGTCGCAGTCTGCAACGTGGCACTATGCAACACAGACGGATGACAACGACAATGACAACAATCACGTCGTCATTGTTGACAGTATATAATGGATACAGTAAGCCCTCCCATGTTTACTACCACACACATAACTAACACAACACCACAACCATTGACCACCAACTGGCGATTGACAGCTAGTACCCCACATCACCATGCCATGACGCAAAACGTCCCCAGTGACGAGGACACCAGAGGGCAAAAGACACAGACAACGACGACGGCGTACAGATGACGGACGACAATGACAACAACAGCATACAGACAACAGACAACAACAACAACAACAACAGTGTACAGATGACAACAATGACAGCGTATGGACAACAACAACAACAACAACAACAACGGCATACGGACAACGAGGAGAAGGAGGGCATACAAAGGATGGATGACGACAAGGAGCCAGGCATGCAAATGACGGACCACAACGATGATGGGGGTGTGCAAATGATGGACAACAACGATGAGGGCCTACAAACGATGGATGGCGACGACAAAGACACTATGAGCACCCACCACCCACACCTGTCGACAAGGCTCAATAGCCCACCCTCACTGCCCACCACCCCTTCCCCTCTACCTCACTGCCCACCACCCCCTGCCCCTCTACCTACTGCCCACCACCCCTCTCCTTCACTGCCTACCACCCCTCCCCCTCTCCCTCATTACCTACACCCCCTTCTTCCCTCCCTCATTGCCCACCACCCTTTTCCCCCTCCCTCATTGCCTACCACCCCTTTCCCTTCTCCCTCATTGATTGCCCACCACCCCTTTCCCTTCTTCCTCATTGGCCACCACCCCTCTCCCCTCTCCCTCATTGGCCACCACCCCCACCCCTCTTCCTCACTGCCTACAACCTCCCTCCCTCATTCCCTCCCCCTTCCCTTTATTTAGTATTTAAGGTAGTAATGTAACATTATGTAGTTATATTGAATAAACTGTCCCTTTCTCTCCTGAATTCTACACATGAATATACTAAGTATATCTGCACTGTTCTTGGATATATGTATAACTTCAGATATTATTAAGTACATATATCCTGTTATTTGGATATATACTATGGATATATTTTTGCAAATATATATCAAGAGGATGTGTAAAGTGTATATGTACTGTTACTTGGATATATAACTTCAGATATATCTTCTAAGTATATATACTGTCATTTGGATATATTCTGTGATATATGCAAGGATGATAGTCTCACACAGTTCAAGGGGAGTGGATATTTACTGTGGATATATTTTTGCAAATATATATACCAAGAAGATGTGTAAAGAAAATGCATATCCACCATACACTGACTGTAATTTTATACAGTGCCAATGATGTCTGGGCTTGTGGACATTTGCAGAGGCAGTTTGAGAAGGTTTTGAGAGGAAATAGCCAAAAGTCAGAAATTGGGTGCATGCTGCCATTTTTATTAGAGGTATAACAATAGACAAGTGCTACATAGTATACAATATAAGGAGGTGGGTGATGAAAAAGGTAACAGTAATACTACATAGATAGAGTCAGCTGTTATCGCGAGAGCTGTTCTAATGCTGAGTGAAAACTTATATGGCTTAGAGAGTGAGCTGTTGAGACAAGAGCCTCATAGAAAGGAGAACTCATCTAAAAATAGATGCATGAGTGATCACCTCAATCCTGCCCTCTTATGACCTGGAAGGTTCGTCTCCAATCTTTTCTTGACTTTTCTCGAGCACATGAATAATGAGTATAGATTTGATTGTCTGCTCTATCTGGGTGTGAGTGAGTCCCACCAAGCCCAGGTCAATATTCTTCAAGCCCTGACAAGGAACTTTCGACTTGATCGAGACATAGACTTGGGTTGTGTTGCGGAGCAGTGCCCCTTTAACTACACTGGGGCTGATTTCTATGCTCTTTGCTCAGATGCAATGTTCAATGCAATGTTATGCAAAGCAGACTTTTTGGAGTCCAAGATAGGTAGGTCAATGCAGAAGTTTTTTGCACTTTTATTATTGACATACTTCTCTCAGCTGACACAAACAAAGTACCAGAAAGTTTGGGTCAACATCCCTATCCAATGACCCTGCAATATTTTCTGTCTGAACTTGCAGCACCTGATGACTTACTGGTGGCTGTCTCACAAGTAGAATTTGATAATGCCCTAGTCACTCTAGTTCCAAGTGTTACTCAGGCTGAAATGGAACACCACACTTGTGTCCAGCATTGCTTTTCTCAAGGTGCAAATATTTAACTATGCTACCCCAATCAATGTAGTACATCAATATCATGTTGGTTTAGAATATACAGACAGACTTGCAAGTTGCAGACAAGAAATGGCATGAGCTTCGGGGGCCTGCAAAAAGTTGCCATGTTTGTGGCTGCATAGTCATTTCACAGCCACCTAGTCTCCGTTACTATCACAGGCTTTAGCGGCAGGCAAGCCTGCCTAGTCCCCAACTCTTTTTTTTCTTACATTGCAGCCACCCCTACTCCCTCTTCCTCCTTGCCTTCAATATAAGCAATGCACGACACCTCTGCACACATCCCAAACCTCACATGGATCCCCTCAAGTTGGAACCACTCCCAACACCTCCTCAGCCAACTTGCACTCCAATCTTGTGCATCCATCTGCATTGCCTGCACCTTTACCTCATTCTGCTATCCTGTCACCTAGCGTCACAGCACGGTTCCCGTGTTTCTTATAAGTATATGTAAATATATAATAGTCCTCCAACTTGACCAGTTCTGTTGATCTAGAATGTTCATTGCTCAAGTCATAGTCCTCCAACTTGAACAGTTTGGATTAACCATGTTCATTGCTGAACATGGTTTTGATCTATGATGTTCATTCCCCCAGTCATAGTCCTCCCAGGCAAAGGGGTTTTTTCTTATCCACAATATTCAAGTGCCATAAGAAAAAAATGGACAGTCAGACTGTTGCAGCCTTCATGGAAGCCATGCTAATGGTCTATGTATATCCTACAAACAGTCAAGGGAACACAGCTCCAGATGGTGGCTAAAACCCTAAAAATAGTAGAAACATCATCTGGAATATATGTCCCACATTACAGAAAATCACAAGTTTTTTTATTTAGAAACTGGGACCCCAGACACCCCTAGTGGCTGAAGAAATATATCCTTGGTCAACCCCAGCTGCAAAATATATCCTAAGTCCATCCCAGACCAGAAATATATTTCTACAGTGTGACAGTCACAATTCAGGGTCCAGGCATAAGAAATATATTTGGTGTCCATCTCAGTGAAGAAATATATTTTGGGGTGTGTGACACACTAGAAATATATTTGGTGTGACATTGGACATCAAAATATATTCACGTAAAAGTGGAGATATACAAGCCCCAGGATATATACAATATAGATATACACCCTGACATTTAGTCCCGTAGTATTCATGGAGTTTGCAAGACTAATAGTCAGTTCTTAGTGGGTGACTGAAGTGTCATTTGGACCAGAATTGGCAGAGATACATATAAATCTTTATTTTCGCAAAAATGGTGACTAGGCGATGACGTAGGACCGGGCTCGTCTGAGCCCTAGCTGGGAGCCTGGTCCTATGTCATCGCTTATGTCATCACTGCAGGTCATATTCACAATTCTGAAAGAAAATACTGTAACTCTATCAGATTTACTCCAAATTACATAAAATAAAATGGAGAAAAAAGGTAAAATTCCCTGCAGTCCGATTACATAAAATGTAGCAATATATATGACATAATTGGTGTCACATCACCCACATCAGTAGTTTAACAAATAGCTTTTTTCCACTTGCACAAGGGAAAAAAGCGGCAAAAAGGGACAAAAGTGGCAGGTCAAAAAAGCTACGTGGCTAATCCAAAAAAGCTGGCTACTTTTTGTGTTACTTGAAGACCAGAAAAAGCAGAAAAGCTATGAAAAAGCGAAATGTGTCTCTCTGAGTAACACTAACAATACTATCTCTACAAATCCCACTACATAAATCTTGCAGGCCAACTAGCAAATCTCCTGCTAGAAAATGGAAGACTCAGAAGCATAAACAGATAGGAAAAGGGGAGGAAGTACCTTCGGCCTGGATCCAGAACCCAACACCAAGAACTGGCCAATGCACTCAAATGACCTTGTCACCACAAGAGGGTTAAAGTGTTTCAACTTGATTGAAGGTGGGACTTGGGCAGGACATGCCAATGGACATCTAAGAAGGTCGCCCAAGTGTGGTTGACATGGAGGAGGTTCAAGCTGGTGGCATGATCGAATGTTCAACATCGGGTTACCATCACGTCAGAGTCTGAAAATCAATAATGCCAACACACCACTTTGTCGCACATCCCTCTTTCTTTCCATCTTCGACACCACAACTAACGCTGACCAGGCCAGGCTCAACGTTAGGATGGATGTTGGCAGACTACATCATGCACAGCAACGTCCTCAATTCATTCCATACTTACTACATACATGAACCCTGATATAGAACACCTGTAGTCTAAGGTTGTTGACTGGTAGTTAGCTTTTTCACTTTTTAGCCTTTAACTTTTTGCAAAACCCAGAGAAAGCTGAAAAGCAACAAAAAGGGAAAAAGTAAAATGCGAACTTGCTGATGCAGGTTCTACCAGTGATTCTGAAAGAAAATACTGCAACTCTGCCATATCTACTCCAAATTACATCAAATAAAATGCAAAAATCTTTTAAATTTGCAGGCCATTTAATTACATGCACTGTAGTACAATGTATTACATAATCAGTTCTCAAAACAGTACTGATGTATTACAAGAAAAGCTGCAATTTACTAGATACCATCTCCACAAAACTACAATATTGAGTGAGAGTCCATGCCATCACCAGAAACTATCAACTACAAAAATGATGACAGAAGCCTATAAATAGATAGAGTACCTGAAACTCTGAAACCCTGAACATAGAAGACTACAAAAGGCTAGAGACCCTGAAACCCTGAACATGGGAAACCATCAATTTTCGTGGGAGAAAGGCAAAGTTCAGCGTTAGAACGCTGAAAAATTCCTTGAGATCAAGGGTAATAAACAAGTCTCTTCGTAAACTCAGAGGACTCATAAAATCAGATAACGCACAGCTAAAATATAAATGAGATTCTTTGCTGGAATTTGGTCTAAAGTACTGGCTGCAAAATAACTGTTGCCATTTTTCTGGGAGGGCTCATTGAAAAATGCAGTTCTTGAGCCTCTACCTTTATAAATTTTACTGTGCTTCCAAAAGCATACTTTAAATTGATAGAATTAAATTCAAGCATTTTAATTCAGTGAGTGAAGGAGCACGCTCCACACAATGCTTTGATGTGTGTCGCAAAAATATTGATAGTGGCCCCAAGAGCCACTCCTCCCGTACTTGGCTAAACATGCTGGAGGGACAATGTACAGTTGAGTGCAAAAAGAATGAAGGTTGGTTCATTTTTCTGGTTCTTTCTAAGAATCTATTGTACCTCAAATGTATTTGTGTATTCTTTTACATTATGTAGTTGTGTTACACTTCCCTTGGTATGGACTAATTTCAGTGAAAGCTGGAGCCTTGAGAAGGTTTTTATTCTGGAGGCCATTTTTGGCATCTGAAAAAAAAAAATATGTGCTAACTGGGGAGGTAGCCAGAACATACCTCTGGTCAACCTGAATGAGCCTATCAAAGAATTAGTTAAAAATACTGAGCAGTTATGCTGGTAGAGCCTCCAGAAAATGGTCATTTTGTGCTATTTTGGGCATTTTTGGACTG